TCCCTTGGCTTACAACCAACAAATAATTTTAAATCTAAATAACTCAAACATTAAACCCATTTGGTAGACCACTGAATAGCTTTAGGCTAGGTCAGTAGTATGTTTGGTGTGATGCAGGTACCATTGCTTAAAGGGTATCTTTGGTGTGTTTATTTATTTTTAGTACCTGGATGTCATGACATGCATATTTACTTTTGTGTTGGTGTACTTTAGCTTTTAAATTATATACATATGCACCACATTCATACATGCATATATATTTATGTTATCTTTTCTTTGTTGCAAAAAAAAAAGTAGAATGTATATATGCTTGCTTGTAAAAGTGAAAGAGAGCAAAGTAGAATGTAACAAGGTGCAAATGTATATGTATAAGATGAAAAATAAATATAAAGTGTCTAAAATGCTACTAGATCGCATTTTATACATTCATAGAGCTATAAAGGCTAAATATGATTGCTTATACATACTTATAGGGCTCCAAAATATTATCTCTTCAACTTAGTAGGATGTTCTCTTAAGAAAAAACCGCATTTAGATATATTTCATTCATAGGTATTGGAATCCAAGCATGTTATGATGGAGCTTTGCCACCTTACTTTCTTATAGACCCTGGGTTATATTTATATTTTCAAATAGATGAATAAAATAATTTCTTTATGTACTTGCTTCATGTATCATAATACATGGTGCTAGCTAGACCTTTTTACATGTCGTACAATCTTGATTAAATTCTCTGAATCAAATATCTTTGATTTCTTATGATAATGTCATCCTATCTTACATTCATAAGGTGGTTGATTGTGTTTAGGATGTTAGCTAATAGCTTACTCCAGATAAGTATAAGCCTAGATCATATACCCTTCAGTGTGTCTTTTTGACTCTTGATAAATTCTAATTTTCTAATTTCTCTTAGGACAGTAAATTAATCTTTGATCTTCTAAAAAAATTTTAATTAAATCTACATACATTTAAAAGAATCTAAGCCCCACTAAAGATAAAGAGATTAAATTATCCCCTTTGGATTAGAATAACTTAGGAACTTCACTATGCACCTAACTAAGAAGAAACAAAATAACATCCCTAATCGAGAGTATGCTTAGGCCAAGTCCTAAGATGTAATTCCCTATAGGAAACTGACACCCACATCAAATAAAACTCATTCAAGCTGATGTATCGAGTGAAAAAAAATCTCATGATTATCGAGTCATATTTATTATTATACATCAAGAAATGTAAGTGAAAGACACTATTCTCCATTGATAATCATTGTATGATTATATCTACTTTTTTATTGACCTTCTTGTGTAGAGTGTATAGGACTCTGACTATTTTATCTTATAAGATAGTGCGATCATACCCTTTGTATTTTGACCCTTGCCAATAGTTTTCTTTTGGAGACCCACATAATTTAGCAATTATAAAAATTTGAGTTTGATTCAAATTTGTGTGTTGGGAATTACACACATGTTACTGAAGCATTACATCAAATGGCTATTGTGCATGAAACACCTATAATACCATGAGAGGAAAAATTGATTTATGATTTTGATAAATTCCACCGTGAAGACATCAACTTTGATATTGATGTAGAATGTAAGACAATAGTGAAGTTGATGAGTTTCATAATAGACTTCAAGTGAATGTTAATCCAAAGGGAGTTGATGAGGTCAAGAATCTCACAAGGATTGTGCAAGCTTAGTTTTGAAGGCTTGAAGGAGGAGAGAGAGAGAGAGAGAGAGAGAGAGAGAGAGAGAGAGAGAGAGAGAGAGAGAGAGACTCTCTCTCTATTTTGAGATCTCGCCGGTGGGATTGGATCGTGAAGCCTCTTGGGTTATCGTGGGGGGTGATCGTGGGACACCCTCCTATCATCCCACGAGAAGCGGCAGAGGGGGGTCGCTGATGATGGGAGAAATCTGGCTGCTATGGCTATTTTAAGAGACGGAGGGAGGATTGTTTCGGGAGATGAGATTGGTAATAGTGGAGGGAGTTTTGGTGATAGGAAGTTTTCATTTGGAGGCTCTCGAGGTTTGGCGGAGATTCGGGCTGAGGGAAGCCGCTTCTTGATCCGTTCGGGCACCTATCAAAGCTGGGGGAGCTAGATCTGTAGCTTCCGATTGTTGACCTGTACTGAGTGGAAAAACAAAAAAAATAAAAAAAAAAATCAAAATAAATGCCATACCTACTCTGCCAAAACCCACGTTGCTCCCCACGTCGCAGGCAGTTCACATGTCGCTCGCACGACCAAGGTCGTTTCCTCGCACGACATCGCGTCGTTAAAAGGCCGCAAGAAACGAAGCCTCAGGCTCTCTTTCTCTCACCTGAGCTCTCTCACTCGCTCCCGCTCTCTCCCGCGAGCTCTCCTCTTCCTGTCGCTACTCCGACTCCTTCGTGGTTGATCGACTCTGTTTCCCCTTCGACGAGTCCCTTCCCGTCGGATAGGAAGTCCGACCTTTTGATCAAAGGCAAAACGGGAGCTCGTTGGTTCCCTCTCTCCCTTCACGTGATTCTTCGGCTCCTTAGCGCTTGTCAACTCTGCCCCTTTAGCGACTTTCCTTCCTGCTTGGTCGGAAGTTGCGGCATTTGATCGGAAGCAAGCACGGGAACTCGCTTGCTATGAAGGTGACTATCTACCTCACGCGCTTCTCGGCCAAATCCCGTCAATCCGCCGAACTAAGGGATTTTTCTTTTTTTATTATTATATAAATAATATATTTTTTAATTATAATTATATTAATTAAATATAATTAGTTAAAATTATTATTAATTAATCATAATTTATAAGTTAATTATCATTAATTATTATTAGTTATTTATATTTTATTAGAATTAATTAATATCAATTAAGTTATAATTAATTTTTTAAAATT